AGGCCACGGCACTCTACCCAGGGCAACAGCTTGTGGCTCTGTCTCAAAAAAAAAAAAAAAAAAGTTGAGGTCTTGACAGGCTGTCCTGACTTAGTTATTTTTGTCTCATAAAACTTTTTTTTTTTTGAGACACAGTTTCACTTTGTCACCCTCAGTGGAGTGCTGTGGTGTCACAGCTCACAGCAACCTCAAACTCTTGGGCTTAAGCGGTTTTCTTGCCTCAGCCTTCCAAGTAGCTGGTACTACAGGCACCCTCCACAACACCCAACTATTTTTTTGTTGCAGTTGTCGTTGTTTAGCTGACCCAGGCCAGGTTCTAACCCACAGGCCTGGGTGTATGTGACTGGTTGGCACCGTCACCACTGTGCCATCGGCACCGAGCCATCATAAAACTTTTAACAGAGAAGAGTCAAAAGTACTATTTATTGCCCTGAAATAAGTTGATATCTTTGAGCTGTCATCCAAATAGCTTATAGTCATGGTCCAGTTTGTTTATAGCTAGCAAAGTTGTCTGTGAGGTATCTCTGGGTAGCAGGCTATTCCTCTGCTAATGGGTATACAGTCATCTCTTGGTGTCTGTGGGGAATTGTTCCTGGGACCCCCTTGAATACAAAGATGCTCAAGTCCCTTATGTAAAATGGCTATTTACATAGAACCTATGGACATCCTCCTGTCTACTTTAAATCATCTCTAGATTGCTTATATACCTAAGACAATGTGAATAGTTATTACACTGTATTGTTTAGGGAATAATGACAAGGAAAAAAGCCTGTACGTGTTCAGATGTGGGTTTTTGTCCCCCAAATATTTTCAATCTGAGGTTGGTTGTATCCACCAATGTGGCCAACAGTGTTTGAAATGGTCACAAACATTTCACCCAATTGCCAGCTTCTCTCATTTCTGCATACTACAGACAGTTAAATCTTTTTTTTTTTCTTTCCCTCAGATGTGCCACACCTTGAAATTGTAATTAATTCCAATTCTGGGTTTCTGGGTTTCTAAGGCAAAAGTTCCATAAATAATTCCTATGTTTAGTTAATTGCAAAATGGGTTTTAGTACCTGATTCATCATATGACATTTGGTATATGTTAAGAAAGTTGGCACACACTCTGGGAGGCCAAGACGGGTAGAATGCCTCAGCTCACAGGTTCGAGACCAGCCTGAACAAGAGCCAGACCCCATCTTTAAAAATAGCGAGGCGTTGTGACAGGTGCCTCTAGTCCTAGCTACTTGGGAGGCTGAGGCAAGAGAATCACTTGAGTCCAGGAGTTTGAGGTTGCTGTGAGCTGTGAGACACAGAACTCTACAAAGGGAGACCAAGTGAGACTGTCTCAAAAAAAAAAGAAAAGAAAAGAAAAGAAAGTTGACAAAGATATTTATGCTGTTGGCTCTAATATTTACAACTATGAAATGGGATTATGACAATATTATGTAGAATTTTCATCTTTGCAAGTTTTAGTTTAATTCTGAATTTTATACATATGAAAAACTTTAATAATTGCACACATTTGACAGATTATAAGAGGCAGAATGAAAGTAGTGACTCCCTCTCCCTAGTACTATTTAAGGTGAAGCTTGATAAATGATTTTCAGGGGTATTCTCCAGGGGTCTAATTACTAGGTGTAAATTCATGCCAGATGATTTTTAAGTTATCTTTTGATACTGAGATTTGTAGATGTTGAACAGTAATGATAATAGTTCATTATCAAGTGATATTTTGAGTTTTAATAGGTAAAATATTTTTTCTACATAAACAGGCAAGAAACATTAAAGTTTTCGAAATATAATCTGAAAGTAGGTGATCCTTATACCTGTTTAGAACACAAATTAGGAAGAATAGATAACTTACGATAGTGGATAACTTTCAACTTGTGGTGTGCATCAGAGTCATTTGGAGAGTTTGTTGAAAATACAAATACTGAGACTTCACTCACTATCTGTAAAATCAATCTTTAGGTGTGTGGCTTTGATCATCTTTAGTTTGGGATAATTCTCAAATTTTTTTTTTTTTTTTTTTTTGGTTGCACCCCTCTTTTTTTTTTGGGGGTCCGGGCTGGGGATTCGAACCCGCCACCTTAGGTGTATGTGGCTGGCGCCTTAGCCGCTTGAGCCACAGGCACTGAGCCAATTCTCATTTATTTTAAGGCTTGCGTACCACTCTTTTAGGATGGAACCCTTCTGGCACTTCTTCAGGTTATCTGCTTGCATGGAAATGTATGTGGAAAGTCTTTGATCCTTATTCATGAAATGAAATAATAATAATAACTGCCACCTGCAATCTTAGCACTCTGGAAAGCTGAGGTAGGAGGATGTTTGAGCTCAGGAGTTGGGGACCAGCCTGAGAGAAAATGAGACCTCATCTCTTCTAAAAACAGAAAAATTAACCAGCGATTGTGCCAGGTACCTGTAGTCCCAGGTACTTGGGAGGCTAAGACAGGAGGATTGCTTGGACCCAGGAGTTTGAAATTGCTGTGAGTTAAACTAACACCATAGCACTCTAGCCTGGGTGACAGAGTGAGACTCTGTCTCAGAAAAAAAGAAATGAAAAGAAAGAATCAAAAAAAGTTAAATATTTTCTCTAAGGTTATGTGGCAAGAAAGTGGTAGAGTAGGGACTTGAGCTTTGGTCTTTATAATTTTAAAATCTCTCTCTGTATCCTCGAAATCTGTTCTAAAATGAAGACTTTTAAATATTCCACAGTACCTGGTCGGGACAGTAGTGAGCTAACCTGGGTTTGGGGGCAATGTTATCTCCTTCCATCCAATATGTGACCTTCAAAACATGGGAAAAGTAGCATAGGAGATGAGGCCTTGCCCGTTCCAACAGTGATCAGGGTGATGTGGCCTCGGTCTTTCTAGGCTGCCCCATGGAGAGGTTCCAAGTAGAGAACCAAGAGCCTTCTGAGCTGCTTACTCTAAGGCCTGGTGGGAGTGGCTTTATGCTTTATCACAGTGGTAGAATGAGCATTGGAATCTTATTCTGGATTATTGTTTTTCTCAGCGTCAGTCAAGCAGCCCTAATTTTTATTTAAAATGAAGAACTGTCCTGCAGGTAAAAGTTGTTCCCCACACAGACTCATGTTGCAAAAACAGAGAAAAAGACACAGGTTTGATTCAGCCATCTTGTGAGCTAACTATAAAAAGAAGCATTGATTTTGTTTTTTAGTCATGGAGAGAAGAGCTAAAAGAAATTACATGAGACTCAGTCAAAAAAAAAGATTTTTTTTTTTTTTTTTTTGACAGGGTCTTGCTCTGTTGTCCTGGCTAAAGGGTAGTGGTGTTATCATAGCTCACTGCAACCTCAAACTCCTGAGTTCAAGCAATTGTCCTGCCTCAGTCTTCTGAGAAGCTGGGATTACTGTTGTGCATCACTATGCTGGGATAATTTCTTTTCCTGTTGTTGTTTTTTTTAAATTTCAGATTAATATGACGGTACAAACGACATTTACAATGTTTGCATTTGTTAGGTAAGGTTGTAGTTATATCCTGCCCCCAAGAGGTGTGCCATATACCCTTACATTATGCCCATTAGGTGGGAGCACACCGATACCCCTCATTTCTCCCCTCTCCATCCTCCCATCTCCCCCCCCCCATTTTCTTTTTTCTTTTGTACAGATGAGGTCTTCCTTTTTTCTTTTTTTTTTTCAGGTAAGAGTATTAACTATGTTGTCTTCTGTAGAGTTCCGTGGTATCACAGCTCACAGCAACCTCAAACTCTTGGGCTTAAGCGATTCTTTTGCCTCAGTCTCCCAAGTAGCTAGGACTACAGGTGCC